AGTAACAATAGATCCCTTTCAGCAACAATAGACCCCTGGCAGTAACAACAGATCTCCCAGCAGCCAGCATCCATAGACCCTCCAGTAGCAAGCAATAATAGACCCCTCCATCATTAGTAGATACCTCCCAGCAACAAATGACTTCCCAGAAACATAAGACCCCTTTGGCAACAATAGATCCCCCTCAGCAGCCATAGATCTGCTCCAGCAACCATAGATCCCTTCCAGCAACAATAGACCCCTGGCAGCAACAACAGATCTCCCAGCAGCCATCATGCATAGACCCTCCAGTAGCAAGCAATAATAGACCCACCTCCTCAACAGTAGATCCCCCAGGAACAAATGACTCACCAGAAACATAAGACTCCCTGGCAACAATAGATCCCCTCCAGCAACAGTAGATCCCCCAGCAACAATAGGTCCCTTTAAGCAACAACAGACCCATGGCAGCAACAACAGATCTCCCAGCAGCCAGCATCCATAGACCCTCCAGTAGCAAGCAATATAGACGCCCTCCCTCAACAGTAGATCCCTCCCAGCAACAAATGACTCCCAAGAAACATAAGACCCCCTGGCAACATTAGACCCCCAGCAACAACCATAGATCCCCTGCAGCAACCATAGACCCCTGGCAGCAACAACAGATCTCCCAGCAGTCAACATCAATAGACACTCCAGTAGCAAGCAATATAGACCCCCTCCCTCAATAGTAGATTTCTCCCAGCAACAAATGACTCTCCAGAAACATAAGACCCCCTGGCAACAAATAGCCACCCTCAGCAACCATAGATCCCGTCCAGCAATAATAGATCCCTTTCAGCAACAATAGACCTCTGACAGCAACAACAGTAGTTAACATCAATAGACCCTACAGTAGCAAGCAATAACCAGACCCCCTCCCTCAACAGTAGATCCCTCCCAGCAACAAATTACTGCCCAGAAACATAAGACCCCCTGGCAACAATAGATCCCCTCCACCAACAATAGATCCCCTAGCAGCCAGCATCAAGAGACCCTCCAGCGCCCCTCACAGCAACAATTGACTCCCCAGAAACATAAGACCCCCTGGCAACAATAGATCCCCTCCCAGCAACAATAGATCCCCTAGCAGCCAGCATCAAGAGACCCTCCAGCCAGCATCAGAAATATAAAGAGACCCAATAGATCCCCCAGCAGCATCAAGAGACCCTCCAGCACCCCTCACAGCAACAATTGACTCCCCAGAAACAGAAGACCCTCTGGCAACAGTAGATCCCCTCCAGCAACAATAGATCCCCTAGCAGCCAGCATCAAGAGACCCTCCAGCACCCCTCTCCATTACATACACTCCGTGCTGGAGGTGCCAGAACTGCGCTCCCCGAGAACCAAAGCCCTGATATTCACTAATGTCGGAGTCCGGCTTTAATCCGGGAGTCTGGCATCCCGTCAGATCCGCATCCAGAACATCTGCACAATTCATCCAATCGCAGCGCTCGCCTGTCCTTCCCAGCTTCTCATGTCTTCTCAATGAAAGCGATGGGACCTCCGGTAAGCCATTGTGCAGCCGGCTGCCCTGTGAAGTGAAGGCAGCCTGCCAAGCAAGATGCGGCCCCCCAGACCCCCCCCGGACCCCCACTTCTGTCTACAGTTCAAAGCACAAGATGGCTCCCAGCTGCTCGGAGGCTCTTGTCCTGCGCTGGGCTGGAGAGACGCGACTCTGGCGGTGAGACAGCTGTCAATGGCGCAGTAGCGCAGGCTTCATGCGGCGGGGGGGGGGGGGCACACAGGTGCATCTGGATGGGGTTTGGCTTGAACAGCTTCCAGCAAAGTGGCCGCTACTTTATAAAGCTGCGACGGTCTGATTTGAAGCCGTATTACATCCAAAGGCAAACATGTATCCTATTGCAGATGACCAATTCTTAGATGTGACGGCTGCATTCGTTTTCTTTTTTTTGGCTTTTTCTTTCTTTGGCCAGTAAGTCAACAGAACAACCCGTCCTGCAAATGTAGCAGTTAGAGGGTTCGGACAAACCATTTACCACAGACAGGGGTGCTTACAATGCTCAGCTTTTTATTTATGTAGCAATACCCACTTGAGAGCCGCTGGCTTTGGGTTCCCCTTTACTTCCTGAACAGCCAGGCAACACGCATTTTCCAGACACAAGATACAGTCCATGGCCTTGGGGGTTTCTGGATTTATTGGGATTAGCAATGGATTCAAATCCAGTGCTGTAAACTGTCCCCTGAAGACTTGCCAGGAACCTGCATCCAGCAGACCCCTGTCCTGTCCTGATGTGATGGGGGGGGGGGTCTCTGATGTGTGGGGGAGGCTCTGATGTGATGGGGGGGTCTCTCTGATATGATGGGGGTCTCTGTGTGTGTGTGGGGGGGAGAGCTCTGATGTGATGGTGGGTGGGTTCTCTGATATGTGGAGGAGGTTCTGACATGATGGGGGAATCTCTGACATGATGGGGGACCTCTGATATGATGGGGGTCTCTGATGTGTAGGGGAGGCTCTGATATAATAGGGTGAGGACTCCTGACATGATGGGGGACCTCTGATGTGATGGGGGGGTCTCTGATCTGTGGGGGGAGGCTCTGATGTGATGGGGGGGGGGGTCTCTGATGTGTGGGGGAGGCTCTGAGGATATGATGGGGGGAACCCCTGACATGATGGGGGACCTCTGATATGATGGGTGGTCTCTGATCTGTTGGGGAGGCTCTGATGTGATGGGGGGGTCTCTGATGTGTGGGGGAGGCTCTGAGGATATAATGGGGGGAACCCCTGACATGATGGGAGACCTCTGATGTGATGGGGAGTCTCTGAAGTGTAGGGGAGGCTCTGATATAATAAGGTGAGGACTCCTGACATGATGGGGGACCTCTGATTTGATGGGGGGTTCTTTGATGTGATGGGGGGATCTCTGATGTGATGGGGGGACTGTGATGTGATGGGGGGGGGGGGTCTCTGATGTGGGGGAGCCTGTGATGTGATGGGGGGGGGGGGGGTCTCTGATGTGTGGGGGAGCCTGTGATGTGATGGGGGGTCTCTGATGTGATGGGTGGGTCTCTGATGTGTGGGGGAGGATGTGATGTGATGTGATGGGGGGGTCTCTGATGTGTTGGGGGTCTTTGATGTGTGTGGGAGGCTGTGATGTGATGGGGGGGGTCTCTGATGTGTGGGGGAAGCTCTGATGTGATGTCTTTGATGTGATGGGGGGTCTCTGATGTGATGGGGGGTCTCTGATGTGTGTGGGAGGGGTGTGATGTGATGGGGGGGTCTCTGATGTGTGGGGGAAGCTCCGGTGTGATGGGGGATCTCTGATGTGTGGGGGGGGCTGTGATGTGATGGGGGGTCTCTGATGTGTGGGGGGAGGCTGTGATGTGATGGGGGGGTCTCTGATGTGCGGGGGGAAGGTGTGATGTGTTGGGGGGGTCTCTGATGTGTGGGGGAGGCTGTGATGTGATGGGGGGTCTGTGATGTGATGGGGGGTCTCTGATGTGATGGGGGGTCTCTGATGTGATGGGGGGGTCTCTGATGTGATGGGGGGGTCTCTGATGTGATGGGGGGTCTCTGATGTGATGGAGGGGTCTCTGATATGTGGGGGAGGCTCTGAGGATATGATGGGGGAACCCCTGACATGATGGGGGACCTCTGATATGATGGGGGTCTCCGATGGGTGGGAGGGAGCTCTGATGTGATGGGGTCTCTGATGGGTGGGAGGGAGCTCTGATGTGATGGGGGCTCTGATGGGTGGGAGCTCTGATGTGATGGGGGGGTTCTCTGATTGGAGGTCCTCTTGATAATGGACTCAAGTCTTTGGAAGACTGAATGTGCGGATATCGATACTTCTCAGTGAAATCCTCTGATATCCGTCAGCAGCAGTGAGTTGTGTCCGGGAGAACAAATGATGTGCAATCACAAGGCTCTCCAGCTTGGAGTTCGGCTGATTATGAAGCTCCAATCCAGAAATGAACTCCCTCTGCCTCATTCCCTCGCATTATTCCCTCCATCATTCCCTCCGCCTCATTCTCTGCCTCCCTCCATCATTCCCTCCGCTCATTCCCTCCGCCTCATTCCCTCCGCCTCATTCCCTCCGCCATTCATTCCATCATTCCCTCCATCATTCCCTCCATCATTCCCTCCGCCTCATTCCCTCCATCATTCCCTCCATCATTCCCTCCATCATTCCCTCCATCATTCCCCATCATTCCCTCCATCATTCCCTCCATCATTCACGCTCGTTAGTGGATTTAATTACCTTTAAGTATCTTTTCCCACAACACCGGCTTTGTTTGATGTTCATTGTTAGTGTTGTGACATCTTTCATCGACTTCCCATCAATACGCCGTCAGCGCTCAGCCGCCGTTCGGCTCATTTACAACACAGCTGCCGCGCTGCTTACTGGTTTATTATTATTTTTACTTCTAGCAGTTTACTTCATTTTTAATTAAAGTTAAAAGAAAATGTCCTCCAATTTCTAATTCAAAGTTCAGCTTATCAGAGAAGATTTGATTTGTATTCTATTTTGTTCGTCTCCTGAGACCCGATTTCCTTAAAGTGTTACTAACCCCACAACAGTACAATCAGTCTGTAGATGCAGGAAAGCATGCTTGTTATACTCACTGTGGAACCTAAGGGGTTAATCCTCTGCATTGTGTAAAAAGGCTGTTTGATCCTGTCTTCTCTGATTCTCCCCTTCTTCCAGTGTCCCCCCTCTTATCTCCTGATAACACATATTGTATGGAGACACTCTGCACATGCTCAGTTTAGTATGTATTGCTAGAGAGGTTTTTTTTTTTTTCTCGGAAGAGTGCATGTGATCAGCACAGGGCCAATCAGTGCTGTCCAGGCAGACGTCAGGGGTTCTGCATCCGCCTAGAGCAGAAATAAAAAACTCCTTCTACAAGATTAACATGTGCTTGGCTGGACACTGATAGAAGTCACAAGACTGCTATATACTGCTGATGAGAAAAGGGATTTAGCAGTTTATATTTACTAAAATAATTGCATTTCCATGTGCTGTGTACTGTGGGAGACCAGATATAGTGAATGCAGGGTCCAGGGAGAGTGGATATAGTGAATGCAGGGTCGGGGAGACCAGATACAGTGAATGCAGGGTCCGGGGAGACCAGATACAGTGAATGCAGGGTCCGGGGAGAGCGGATATAGTGAGTGCAGGGTCCGGGGAGAGCGGATATAGTGAATGCAGGGTCGGGGAGACCAGATACAGTGAATGCAGGGTCCGGGGAGACCAGATACAGTGAATGCGGGGTCCGGGGAGACCGGATATAGTGAATGTGGGGTTCGGGGAGACCATATATAGTGAATGCAGGGTGCGGGGAGAGCGGATATAATGAATGCAGGGTCCGGGGAGAGCGGATATAGTGAATGCGGGGTCCAGGGAGAGCGGATATAGTGAATGCAGGGTCCGGGGAGAGTGGATATAGTGAATGCAGGGTCCGGGGAGACCAGATACAGTGAATGCAGGGTCCGGGGAGACCAGATACAGTGAATGCAGGGTCCGGGGAGAGCGGATATAGTGAGTGCAGGGTCCGGGGAGAGCGGATATAGTGAATGCAGGGTCCGGGGAGACCAGATACAGTGAATGCAGGGTCCGGGGAGACCAGATACAGTGAATGCAGGGTCCGGGGAGACCGGATATAGTGAATGTGGGGTTCGGGGAGACCATATATAGTGAATGCGGGGTCCGGGGAGAGCGGGTATAGTGAATGCAGGGTGCGGGGAGAGCGGATATATGAATGCAGGGTCCGGGGAGAGCGGATATAGTGAATGCAGGGTCCGGGGAGAGCAGATATAGTGAATGCTGGGTCCGGGGAGAGCAGATATAGTGATGAATGCAGGGACCGGGGAGAGAGCGGATATAATGAATGCAGGGTCCGGGGAGACCGGATATAGTGAATGCGGGGTCCGGGGATATCAGATATAGTGAATGCAGGGTCGGGGGAGACCAGATATAGTGAATGCAGGGCCCGGGGAGACCAGATATAGTGAATGCAGGGTCCGGGGAGACCAGATATAGTGAATGCAGGGTCCGGGGAGACCAGATATAGTGAATGCAGGGTCCGGGGAGACCAGATATAGTGAATGCAGGGGTCCGGGGAGACCAGATATAGTGAATGCAGGGTCCGGGGAGACCGGATATAGTGAATGCAGGGTCCGGGGAGACCGGATATAGTGAATGCAGGGTGCGGGGGAGAGCAGATATAGTGAATGCAGGGTCCGGGGAGAGCAGATATAGTGAATGCAGGGTCCGGGGAGACCGGATATAGTGAATGCAGGGTGCGGGGAGAGCAGATATAGTGAATGCAGGGTCCTAGGAGAGCAGATATAGTGAATGCGGGGTCCGGGGCTTTAGTAACACTTTAATTAACAAAACCTGGGAAATGGCTGTTAAATTATATCCATTCCAAATTCAAAAACGCACATCAAAACTTTTGTCAATGCATAATGGTAACACACGGCGATGTGTGACGGCATAGCTGCTTAATGTTACAGAAAATCTAGACACACGGTAAAAAAAATCGCCGTCTTGGCACTCGCATAGCAGTTGCCAATATTCCCTGTTGGGTGGGATTTGTGCTAAAATTTGTGTGTGTGTGGGGGGGGGGGGGGGGGGGGAGGGGAATTTGGGGTAAAGTGGGAGGATTTTATGCTGGGAATTTGGGGGAATTTCCTTGGAGGGGGCATTGAAGGAAGAGAATTGGTCCTGGGAGGGGGGGATTGGGGGGATTTGAGCTCAGAGCGGGGATTGGGAGAGGGGATTGAGGGAAGGAATTTGTGCTGGGAGAGGGGATTGGGGGAAGGGATTTGTGCTAGGATAGGGGATTTTTTGCTAGGAGGGAGGATTGGGGGAAGGGATTTGTGCTGGGAGAGGGGATTGGGGGAGGGGATTTGTGCTAGGATAGGGGGGATTTGTGCTAGGAGGGAGGATTGGGGGGATTTGTGCTTGGAGGGAGGATTGGGGGATTTTGTACTAGGAGGGGGAATTGGGGGGATTTGTGCTAGGAGAGGGGATTGGGGGAGGGATTTGTGCTAGGAGAGGGGATTGGGGGAGAAGAGATTTGTGCTAGGAAAGGGGATTGGGGGAGGGATTTGTACTAGGAGAGGGGATTGGGGGAAGAGATTTGTGCTAGGAGAGGGGATTGGGGGAGGGGATTCATGCTAGGAGAGGGGATTGGGGGGGGGGGGGGGGGATTTGTGCTAGGAGAGGGGATTTGTGCTAGGATTGGGAGGGGATTTGGGGAGGGAGGGATTGTGTGCTAGGAGGGAGGATTGGGGGGATTTTGTTAGGAGAGGGGATTGGGGGAGGGGATTGGGGGAGGGATTTGTGCTAGGAGGGGGGATTGGGGGGATTTGTGCTCAGAGGTGGGATGGGGGAGGGAATTTGTGCTAGGATAGGGGATTGGGGGAAGGATGTGCACTAGGAGGGAGGACGGGGGGGGGGGGATTTGTGCTAGGAGGGGGGACAGGGAAGGTTTGTGCTAGGAGGGGGGATTTGGATAGGAATGAAGGATTTGTAATTTGGAGGGGATTGTGCTAGGGGGAGGGATTTTGGGTGGAAATTTTTACTAGGAGAGGGGGATTGGGGGGGGGGGATTGTGCTAGGAGGGGGTATTGGGGGAAATTGTGCTAGGAGGAGGGGATTTGTGGTAGGAGGGGGATTTGAGTGAGGGAGGAGGAATTTGGGTAGGAATGAAGGATTTGTAATTCGGAGTGGGGTTTTGCAAGGGGGAGGGATGTTGGTGGGGAGTTTTTTTACTAGGAGAGGGGGATTGTGGGGGGGTGGTGCTAGGAGGGGGCATTGGGGGGAATTGTGCTGGGAGGGGGGGGATTTTATGTGGCATTGGTGCAGTAAACGCTTCTGGCACTTTGACCAAACAGCTCATTTTTGTTCAAGTATCACCGTATTATACTCCTTAAAAACAACCACACCATCTTTCTCCAGAGCAGCCTGGATTTCTTTTTGAGGTTCCCTGTGGGGTTTTTCTTTGAATCCCGGACAATTATTCTGTCAGTTGTGGCTGCAATCTTTCTTGGTCTACCTGACCTTGGCTTGGTATCAAGAGATCCCCGAACTTTCCACTTCTTAATAGGTGATTTAACAGTACTGACTGGCATTTTTTCAAGGCTTTTGGACATCTTTTTATGTCCTTTTCCATCTTTATAAAGTTCCATTACCTTCTTACGCAGGAATTTTGACAGTTCTTTTCTGATCCCCATGGCTCAGTGCTTCCACGTAAGAGCTAACAAACTCATTGACTATACACTGACATTAATTGCAAATCAAAATGCCACAGATGTGGGACATTAACCTCTAATTGGCATTTTAACCCGTGTGTGTCACCTTGTGTGTCTGTACCAAGGCCAAACATTCCAGGGGGCGGAGACTTCTGATCTGGGGGGGCGGAGACTTCTGATCCGGGCCATTTAAAATTTCTGCCAGGGGAGGGAAACGTTTGAGCACAACTGTAGATAGATGGATGGATGGATGGATGGATAGATAGATAGAAAAGAAAATAAAATAAGAGAGATAGATAGAGAGAGATAGATAGAGAGAGATAGAAAAGAGAGAGATAGATAGAGAGAGATAGAAAAGAAAAAGAGAATAGATAGAGAGAGATAGATAGATAGAAAGAGATAGATAGAAGAGATAGATAGATAGAGAGAGATAGATAGAGAGAGAAGATAGATAGAGAGAGATAGATAGAAAGAGATAAAATAAGAGATAGATAGTAGAGAGGATAGAGAAAAAAGAAAAAGAGAATAGAGAGAGATAGATGGATAGATGATAGATAGATGATAGATAGATGATAGATAGATGATAGATAGATGATAGATAGATGATAGATAGATGATGATAATGATAATAGATAGATAGATGATAGATAGATAGATAGATAGATAGATAGATAGATAGATAGATAGATAATAAGATAGATAGATAATAATAGATAGATAATAGATAGATAATAGATAGATAGATAGATAATAGATAGATAATAAAAAAAGATAGATAGATAGTAAAATTAGATAATAGATAGATAGATAAAATAATAGATAGATAGATAATAGATAGATAGATAATAGATAGATAGATAAAGATAGATAGATAGATAGATAGATAGATAGATAGATAATAGAATAGATAATAGATAGATAGATAGATAGATAAATAGATAGATAGATAAATAGATAGATAATAGATAGATAGATAATAGATAGAAAAAAAGATAAGAATAGATAATAGATAGAAAGAATAGATAGATAGATAATAGATAGATAGATAGATAGATAGATAGATAGATAAATAATAGATAGATAGATAAATAATAAAAAGATAGATAGATAGATAGATAGATAGATAGATAGATAGATAATAGATAATAAGATAGATAAAAAAAATAAAGAAATAATAAATAAAAAAATAAAAATAGATAGATAGATAGATAATAGAAAAAAAGAATTAGATAATAAAAAAAAGATAGAAAAATAAAAAAGAAAAAAGAAAAGATAAAATAGATAAGATAATAATAGAAAGATAGATAGATAAAAAAAATAGATAAAGAGATAAATAATAGATAAGATAAAAAATAGAAAATAGAAATAGAAAATAAAATAGAAGATAGAAAGATAATAGATAGAGAGAAAGATAGATAGAAAAAAAAAATAATGATAAAAAAAATAGATAGAGAAATAGATAGAAAGAAAGATAAAAAATAAAAAAAAGATAGAAAAAAGAATAAAGATAAAGATAAAATAGATAAAAAGATAATAAAAAAAAGATAAGATAATAGATAGATAGATAGATAGATAAAAAGATAGAGAGATAGATAGATAGATAATAGATAGATGATAGATAATAGATAGAGAGATAAGATAGATAGATAGATAGATAGATAGATAGATGATAGATAGAGAAGATTGTTTGCTGAACCCCGGGAGTGCAATGTGACCTGATTACTTCACATTGTGTTTAGTGTCCCTGCACCTTCCCCATGTACCCTCAGCTGTCACTCACACGTATGCTCATTTTCTAGGCCGTTATTTGAAGGTAATAATATTGGCCTCTCCCCGGA